CGCCCATTTTAACGAGCTCTGAGATTGTCAAGGTTCCAGATCCACAGATGTCTATGGTGAGTCCTTTTCTGCACAACGTAGTCCGTGGAACGGCAAGGGTATGCTGAAATGGGGAGTGCGTATTCATGCACCTTAATGTACAAATGAGGATGCCTCAGTTTCCCATAAGTAATCATAATCTTCTTATTTATATGGCACCCATCTGACTGGATTGCTCCAGCCACTCTGGATGGCTCCCAACAAAATATTAAAAACACAGTAGAACATAAATCATCAAAAAACTTTCCAGTACAGGGTTGTCTTCAGATAGCTTCTAAAGGTGGCTTTTAAGTCATGCAGACACTCAGATATATTGCAGAAGTTAACACTAGGGGAACATTGAGGAAGCGGAATAAACTGTCGTGTGAATGCAAGGTTATTTTCCTTCTCTCTTTTTTATTTATTTTTTTATTCAAAGTTATAGCAAAACATATTATCCAAAAACATATCCTTATTCCCCCCCCCCATTTTTCCTCCCTCCCCCCCACAGAACCCATCCCCCCACCCCACCCCCCGACTTCCCTCAGTTCCAGTCTTTGGTTTCTCCAATAATGCTATTTTCTGCATGTTACAAAATTGTATAGATCCTCAAACTGTTTAGCTGATTATTATCAGTAAAAATTTTTTGAATGTTTATTCAAAACCTGCCAAGGAGTCCAGTTCGCTTTGTTGCGTCTTCAGATACTTTGTGAAAGGTTCCCATTCATCCTTAAAGTCACAGTTATCCTTGTCCCGTAGCTTATATGTCAATTTTGCCAGTTCTGCATAGTCCATCAATTTTTCTTGCCATGATTCTTTAGTTGGGGTTTCTTCAGTCTTCCATCCTTGTGCTACCAGAACTCTCGCGGCCATTGTCGCATACATGAAAATGTTTTTCAACTTTTTTGGCAGGTCTTTCCCTACGATCTCCAACAAAAATGCCTTGGGTTTTTAAACAAATGTTAAATGGAACATTTTCTTCAATTCATTGTATATCGTTTCCCAAAATTTTTTAATTACCTTACAATCCCACCACATATGATAAAATGTTCCCTCCTTTCCCTTAAACTTCCACTTATTCCTTCTCTCTCAACTAACTTTTGTTTACTGAAGGAAAACCTAGTGGAGAGGAAACACCACAAGCTTGCTCGGAGTTTAAGAAGCGGACCTTCTGACCACGATCTCAAGCCCAACGCTGCTACCCGAGATCAGCTCAACGTATGTTGCTGTTCTCCCACACCTTTGAACGGATGTTGGGTATTGTTGACCGGCAGCTCCTGAAATGCAAACTCAAGACATTGTGTGTGCTACTTGTACCCTGATTTTCAGCCTCACCCTCTCAAACTGACCAGATTAAGGCACCACACACTGATTTATGGCTAGCGCTGACCACAGTTTGCAAACCTAAACCTTGGTTAAGACTTCCAAACAGTGCAGGCAAGCTGTAGTTTAGAGCACCTTAGCTGTTTGCATTTCCCAGCCTCTCCGCACTCCTTCAGGTTAGCCTCCAGAGGGCATGGCGATGGTTTGTTCGTTCTGACTTCAAAGTTAGCCCAAACTATGGTTTGCAATCATTGCATCAAACCACGTTGTTCTTCAGCCACATTTTGCCAGCTGATTGCAGATCCAGCACCAGCTTTTCTCTGGTGTCTCGGTAGCCTGGATATCGGAGATGTTGGAGCTGTGACTTCAGTTTATTTGGATGTAGAATACAATTGAACTGAAGTATCAGCTTCAAGGGGCCACCTGAGATAAGCCCCTGGTGATAGGACTAAGGAGCAGCCTGAAAGCAGTTGGGGTGGAGGGAGAATGCTCAAGATAGTCTTCTTCTACATGTCCAGATCAAGTGTTCATAAGAAGTGGGGCTAATTGGTGCAAAGAGAGCCAATAGCAGAAGGAAGTAGCTGCCAATGCAGGTTTTGTTTGGCTGAAGAACAGAAGGTTCCCGGTTCTTAAACAGTGGTACCTTGGTTCTCAAACTTAATATGTTCTGGAAGTAGGTTCCAAAACCAAAGTGTTCCAAAACCAAGGCACCCTTTCCCATAGAAACAACCCCTAAAACAGCAATTTAGCATGAATTTTACTATCTAACGAGACCATGGATCCATAAAATGAAAGCAATAAACAATGTCCTGCAGTCACAGAATCAATTAATTCGTAGCTGAACTGGGTTCCACACAGTCACACAAAAAAATAAAAAGAGGCACAAAAATGCAAAATAAATAGCAAAACCAGACAGACCTCTGTGTAACACTCAAAACGGAAGTGTGGCACTCAAATAGGAAGCGTGACACTGAAAACGGAGCATGTTCGGCTTCCAAAAAAGGTTCGCAAACCAGAACACTTCCTTTTGGGTTTGCAGTGTTTGGGTTCCAAGTTGTTTGAGTACCAAGGCGTTTGAGAACCAAGGTGCCACTGTAAACTGAAAGTGAAGTTCTCAAGTTTTCTTTTTTCCTTTTGTCAGGCTTATATGGGCAAGTTAAGAATACATCTTTCCACAATAATAAAAACTGGCTTCTGATTTTAACTTTTCATTTTTCTTTATTGTATGGGTTTGTGTACTGTGTTGATATTTTATTTAGGAATTAGCAGTATATAAATAAATACAAATGAGGCAGAAGATGAGGAGGCACTTCTGACCTCCTCCATGTTATTAATAGGTATTGTTTTAGAGGTTTGGTGTTTGTGTGCTTAAGATGCACAACACCCCACCCCTTTGGTCCAAATAAAAGAAACCCATAAGTACCTTTTTATTTAGATCATCGTGAGCTATCCTCCGACGAAGCAGCTGACTTATGAAGAGCAGGACCTTGTGTGGAAATTCCGATATTATCTCACTCATCAGGAAAAGGCGAGTGCCCGAATTAAATTTATATTCTTATAATTACAGTCATAACTCGTGTTGCGTTGGGTTCATGTTGCGTCTTTTTGGCTTGCAAACGCGTGTGCAGAAGCTCTGTATGGCGCCGCATGTGAACGCAGAAGCGGTACTCTAGTTATGGACTTTTCAGGGTGTGAACGGCACCCCAGAATGGATTGAGTCTGTAACTAGAGGTACCACTGTGCGTTTTAATGCTGCAGGCATCAAAACATGGAAACATGTGTCTGGGTGTGGGTGGGTGTTTTTAAAAACCCTTCCTTCCTCCCTCTGTGGATGTGTGCAGTTTGAAATATTTTAAAATATTCTGTTGTTCGGCACGTTTTGCTATCCTGCAACCATGTGAAAGGCTGAATATCCTACCACGGCCCCTGCAGTCTGTAGGCTTTCCACCTCGGGATTGAAGGTTGAAGCATGTCAGCATCGCCCTTGAGCCAGTGTCACCAACTGGACTCATCCACTCAGCCCCAACTGGGCTAGGCGAGCTGGGTAGCACTTCTAGAGACCACCTTCTGCACAGGAACAGGTCAAAGTGCTGTGGACTCACAGCTTAGAGTTGTGAGCACCAGATTCACTTCCACAAGAAGACAGTCGTCGCACAGCAGAGTATAGCAGAGCATAAACGACTCGGAGAGCAGCTCTGTAGAATATCTTCTTTATTCTATCTACAACTATAATACACAACTATATACAGAGCTAAATGAGGTCTAAACTGAAAATGCTGAACTGCACTGAGTGTCTGCAGCTGCTCTTAGCAGCAACCATATCTATACACACGATCTCTCTCTAACCCCCAGTCTCTCTCTCTCCCCGACACTTTGATGTGAGGCTGGAGCGGAATAAGTAGAGAGCAGAAACCGCCCCTCCTCTCTGAAGAATCAGCAGAGAACATCAGCAGATTCTTGGATATGGGAGGGGTGAAATCTCCTCAAAGCATAGTGAGGAAAAAGAAGGGCAGCTAGAAACAAAACGACAACGACTCTTGGGCAGTTGCATGGGATTGCAGCTAAGCCAATAAAAAAGCCTTTGATCCTGCTGTGGTTCGGATCCTGTTCATGGGCCTTTATGGTTGCCATTGCTGTGTTGCCGCTGTTGTTTTAAAGGCAGGGATGAAGTTAGAAATGCCTAGTTCAGTAGGAGGAAGGAGGCCCTGTGTGATTGCAGCTTTTGTCTTCCAGGCGCTGACAAAGTTCTTGAAGTGCGTCAACTGGTACCTCCCGCAGGAAGCGAAGCAGGCACTGGAGCTTCTGGGGAAGTGGAAGCCGATGGACGTGGAGGACTCCCTGGAGCTCTTGTCCTCGCACTTCACCAACACCACAGTCCGGCGTTACGCTGTCGCTAGGTTGCAGCAGGCAGATGACGAGGTGTGGGAATGCCCCGCTGTCGCTTGTCCTGTGTTCTGGTTAGATTCAACCAGACACATGTGACTGACTTTTTCCATAGGTTGGCATGTAGAATTGAAGTTGAAATTGAAATTGAAATACTTTATTGTCACTTGTACAACTTGTATACAGTGAGATTACACGAGCACACCCCACTCAGCTCTCTTAGTCTTAATTCCCCGCGTTTACTGATGCACACCCACCAAACCTGAAAGTCAGTTGCCCTGTAGTTATCTTTTCATTCAGCAGCCTAACAGCCCACGGATAGAAGCTGTTCTTTACCCTGTTGGTGTGACTAATCATGCTTCTATATCTTCTGCCTGAGGGCAGGAGATCAAGAAAGTGCCGGCCAGGGTGTGAATCATCTCTGAGAATTTCCCTCACACTCTGGATTCACAGGACAGCCCATATGATCTTGTGCTGTATTCACCACCCTCTGTAGGCACTTCCTATCAGTTGATGTCAAACCAGCGTACCACACCTGAATCATAGAACTGTAGAGTTGGAAAGGACCACAAGGATCATTTTGTTTGTTTGTTTGTACCTTGCCCATCTGACTCTGGGCAGCTTACCAACAGTTATAAAAAAATAAATAAAAAACCAGACATTAAAAACTTCCCTATGCAGCGCTGCCTTCAGATGTCTGCTGAAAGTTGTGCAGTTATTTGTCTCCTTGACATCTGATGGGCAGGTGTGCAACCCCCTACAATGCAGGTACCTTTCACCCAACGTGGGGCTCAAATACACAACCCTGAGAGTCAGAGACTCATGTTCTACCAACTGAGCTATCCCAGTACAGTCGTACCTTGGTTTTCAAACAGCTTAGTTCTCAAACGCTTTGGCTCCCGGACGCCACAAACCCAGAAGTGAGTGTTCTGGTTTGTGGGCTGTTTTTGGAAACCAAACTCCGACTGGGCTTCCACGGCTTCCGATTGGCTGCAGGAGCTTCCTGCAGCCAATCAGAAGTCGTGCTTTGGTTTCTGAACATTTTGGAAGTCGAATGGACTTCCAGAATGGATTCCGTTTGACTTCCAAGGTATGACTGTATGTGTTTTCTCCCTTCCCCCTCTCTTTCTCTCCTCCCCGCCCTCTTGCTTCTCTCTTTCATATCCAGCATTGCATCCATCCCCTTTCATCCATCCCTTTCCTAATTTTCAATATATATGGAATTTAGTTCCAGGGAAGTCAGGTGAGCTACATTGCTGACCTCTGTGGAACGAGCTCTAAAGACATATTTTTCTTCAGAGTGGCGTTCAGACATTAAAATGTGAGCTGTTGGGTTAGGACAGTTGGGTCATATGTCCAACGATTGGGCCATGTGCCCAATGCTGGTTTTAAAATGTCCTAGCCCTATGTCTGAGTGCAATGGGGTTTGATCGTTTTGATGTTGCACTCCATTGATTGTAGTTGGTGTAGTTGCCTAATGGAAGGGTGGCTTAAAAGGTTCCCTCCAAATGATGCAAACCGTAATTCAGACCAGCTCACATCAGCATGGACAGCGGTCAGGGATGATGGGAGTTGTAGTCCAACAGCATTTGGAGCCCTGCTGGATCACACCAACGTCCCATCTAGGCCAGCATGCTGTTCTCACAGTGGCCAACCGAAGGCGCCATTGGGAAACCCAACTGCACAAGCACTTTTTACCTAAACACACGGAGAAAGAAGCAAGTAAATAAGCAAGATAGGTTAGCTTCCAAAAATCCTGGGATCCCGGCAGCTTAACAGACCGCTGTTGTCCTCTTCCTTATTCAGGATCTCCTGATGTATCTGCTCCAGCTGGTCCAGGCCTTGAAGTACGAAAACTTCGACGACATCAAGAATGGGTTGGAACCTACAAAGAAAGACAGTCAGGGATCCATGACGGAAAGCATGGCGACGTCTGGGGCGAATCCTGCAGAAATAGACAGGTAGGCAAGAGACTACTGGAGGTCTGTAGGGGAGTGGGGAGTCTTGCCTACTCAACTTTCTAGACTGCATAGTTTTGCATCCTGTCTTCCTGGGGAGAGCAGGTGTGACTGAGGAGGAGCATGTTCAGCCTGAGAAGATTCCCAGGAGCCTGATAGAGGGGGCTGGGGATCCTCATGTGGCCCCTTGGGGCCTGAGGTTGTCCCCCCCAAAATAAGAAGAAGAATAAAATATACTAGACTGCATGGACTCAAGGGTCTGCCTTGGGTTAAGACAGCCTCCCATGAGAAAGAGGCCTTAAAATCCATGTATTTCCATTCTCCTGTCAGCTCTCAGATCATCACGAGCCCATTGCCTCTCATCTCCTCCCCACCTTCTGCAGCAAAATCAAAGGAGCCTGCTGACAGCGAAAACCTTGAGGTGAGTAAAATACTGACAGGAACCCTTAGGTTTTAAGAGAATGGGCTCTGTTGGAGCTGGGGAGGTTCCAGTTTTCAATTCTGAGTTCAACCATGATCTCAGAGCAGTTTCTTGTGAGCTACATTGGCCTCAACCCCACCTGAATTATACTGTGGCCTACTTTGCAGGAGTCTTGGGCTTCAGAGGGCAATCTCCAACAAAGTAGTTGCAAGAATTTCCATTTCTGTGACAGAAGTTTCCTGCCTTCTCCTCTCCCCACGTGGGTGCCCAGCTCCCCAAATCTGCCCCCAAAGGTTGGGGAAAGCCCTAGAACAGATTTAGAGGGCAGGTGTGGAGAGGGAGGGGAAATTCTGTTGACCTATGCAATTAAAAACCAGAATCTTAAATAACGAGGGAAACCTAAGTTGAGCAACCTTCACTGTGAATATTAGACATCGCAACCTGTCCGAACCAGACAGCAGATATTTAATCCTACCCTTATTGTTGAGCTACCACTGCTAACTTTCTCTCTAAATATTTTTCCTAGGTGTTTCTTCCAGTTTGCAGTATAGCGTATAAGGCATTAAGTATCCCTTATCCAGGGAGTTCCTGAGCACAACATTGCTTTCTTTAGTGCCAAACTGCGACCGGTGTTATGTTTGAACCTGACCTTTGTGTGTGTGTGTGTGTGTGTGTTTGTGTATGTGTGTGTGTGTGTGACTTTCCCCCTCCAGCTTTCTCTACCTAGGAGAAAGCAGACTGGCACATATCCATCACATAAATATCCCAAAGAGCTGTTTGTGCGTTTCAAACACGTAAAGGTCCTTCTCCGTTTCACAACCTTTAAGCGACGTTTCCCTGTACTTTCAGCAAGACCTTTGCACGTTCTTGATCTCGCGAGCCTGCAAGAATTCCACGCTGGCAAACTACTTGTATTGGTAAGTCCAGAAAAGGGGGTTGATGCCTCATGCACCAGAAACAGTTGCTGCTCTAGCTTCCTGGCAAGTGGGACGCAGTGCGTTACCAGCAAGACGATGGAGAGCAAAAGCTTGTCCGTTTTCACCCCTGCTTAGTATTCCTCGCCCTTATCCCCCACCCAGCCCAGACATTGACCAAACCTAGACCCCTCAACCTCAGGAAAGCTGAGTGTTTGCATCATGTTTCTTATACCATAGTTTTGCCACTTCTGAATTCCCTAAACACAGACCTTTAGGGGAGGTCAGAAAGGTGCTATAGACCTGCTGTTTCTCCCTCAGACTTGGTCTGGGTGCTCAATCTGCCCCCAGGAAAGATTTCTGACCACTTTTCTTAAAAAAAATGTGTTTTATTGATTTTCAGTTACAAATGAATTAGAGTGGGGCGGGGGGATAAGACCAGTAATGTTGATGATTTTAAAAATTACTTGTACCCCACCCATCTGACTGGGTTGAACCAACAAATATAAAAAATATATAATAAAACACCAACAAGTCAGAGTACAGGGCCGTCACAACAAAGGGAAAATATAACAGGAACAATCCCAGTTGTGGTCGATTGAATGCATAGTAGTCAAAAGAAGGTGTCATTCCACAATGTACCTCATGCTGTATTTTTTATTTTTTTAAAGCGTTGGTTCTTGTGTAGAGATATCAGTCTATAAACAGGGGCTTTCCACCCCCCATATTCATGGCTCCCTACCCCAAACACTTTCTGCTTCCTTTATCGGTGACAGAATTGGCCAGTTTATTATTATACTTCCCCCACCCCACAAATACACACTTTCCTCTACCCAGACTCCTCCATTTCTCAGTGCCAAAATCTGAATGTCAGCAGCTACAGTTCTGGCAGACTTAGCTATAAATCCTCGCGTCTGCTGATCAATGGTGTGTTTTGCCCGACCAGCCTCAGCAGGAGTAGGAAATAATCAAAGGGGTGTTTGGATGTACTAACCCTTGATGAAAACCTGGAGTTTGATTTGTAATCTGTGGCTGGGATACAGAGAAGGGCAAAAGGAGCTATAGATACAAAAAGCCTTATTTTGAAAGGCTCTGGAGAGAGAGGAGTTCAGTCTGGAGATAGACTGAGGCCCCATCTAAAACAGTATCTTCTTTGGCAATCACTCATAGCGGAGTAAGATTGTCTTCAATAAACGTGGTTGTAAAAGTGAGTCCATAAGTGACTGTCAAGGCCAATTCTGGATCCACACGTTCTTCCACAGTGAAGATATAGGTTAGGTTTCTGGGTGGGAGTTGATCATGGTGAGGGTTTGCCAAGTGTGCCTTCCTCTTAGGTCATTTCTCCCTTTCGTCCTGTGTTTGAGTGTCTTCAAAGCCCATGACACCTTTTGTGAAGGCTGGAGCGCTCGCAGGCCAGTGTTCCCCAGTTGTCGGTGCTTATACAGTGGTGCCCCGCAAGACGAATGCCTCGCAAGACGGAAAACCCGCTAGACGAAAGGGTTTTCCGTTTTTGAGTTGCTTCGCAGGACGAATTTCCCTATGGGCTTGCTTCGCAAGACGAAAATGTCTTGCGAGTCTTGAGATTTTTTTTTCCGCTTCCCCCCCCTTTATCTAAGCCGCTAAGCCTTTGATAGCCTTTTAGCAGCTAATCTGCTAAGCCGATAAGCCTTTAATAGCCGCTAAACCGCTAATAGCGCTAATCCGTTAAGCCGCTAATAGGGTTGCTTCGCAAAATGAAAAAACCGCTAGACGAAGACACTCGCGGAACGGATTAATTTCGTCTTGCGAGGCACCACTGTACTACATTTTTTTAGATTTGCCTTGAGACAGTCTTTGTACCTCCATATCTCTCTCTCTCTCTCTCTCTCTCTCTCTCTCTCGCTCTCTCTCTCCATCTCTCTCTCTCTTTTGACCACCAGCATTATGCTTAAAATTTTTAAGTTCATACCACTTTAAACAGCCATGGTTTCCCCCAGAGAATCCTGGGAAGTGTAGTTTGTTAAGGGGGTTGAGAGCTGCTAGCAGACCCCTGTTCCCCTCCCAAACCACAAGTCCCAGAGTTCCCTGTGAGGAGGGACGATGAATTGTAGCTCTGCAAAGGAAACAACTCTCAGCACTGTTAACAACTTACAGTTCCCATGGTTCCTTGGGGGAAAGGCATGGCTGTTTAAAGTGGTATGGTACTGCTTTAAATCACAGAATCTTAAGAGTTGGAAGGGACCCAAGGGTCATCTAGTCTGACCCCCTACAATGCAGGAATCTCAGCTAAAGCATCCATGACAGATGACCATCCAACCTCTGCTTAAAAACCGCCGAGGAAGGAGAGTCCACCACCTCTTGTGGGAGACCGTTCCACTATCGAACAGCTCTTATCGTCAGAAAGCTTTTTCAAATATTTAGCTGGAATCTCCCTTCTTGTAACTTGACTCCATTGGTTTGAGTCCTACCCTTCAGAGCAGGAGAAAACAAGCTTGCTCCCTCTTCCATGGGACAGCCTTTGAGATATAGGATACCTAGGTGGCTATCATATAGGATACTGATGGGGCACAGAGAAGG